AAATAACAGTATATAATATAGAAATAATGCCTCAATAGTCTATCCAATACTAAATTTTAAAAAGAAATGCATTTTTGTAAAATATTTTGCATAAACAACACAATTAACTCACTATAAAGTGGACTCTAATTCAATGATAAATAAACTGAAAAATAAATTATTTCTCAAAGATCTCAATTGAGACATAACTATAGCAAAAGCAAAAATAATATATTTTAATCATTGCATTCAATTCGGGCCAAAGAGAAGATTTTCCATTAATTTAATGTTTTTTGTTGAAATTTAAATTCTATGCCATAACTAATGAAATGACAATACATTTGTGTAAAAGTCATGAAAATGAGTTAACATTAAATTATTATCATTTGTCAAAAAATAAGACAATTATATGTAAATAAATGTTCAACACTCATATCGATGTCTATAAATAAGTGTAAATCAATTATTAATTTAATAGATATGTAATTCTCGGCGATATGTAATGTCTAATCATAAACAGTCGTTCGCTAAGACTTCCTAATTATGATTACAATAAAAAGTAATTTTAAATTATATATTATTTATGTTTTAAAATTTGATAAAACATTTTTTGTAGTAAATGAATGTGTAATTAATAATAACGAATGTCTTGTGAAACAAAATGAATAGTCAATACATATTATACAATACATTCACTTTGTATTGATTTAGAACTTAATTTATTTAAATATAATATTAACTAAAAAAGCAAAAGATGTAAAGAGAGGACAAAATTCGTCGATTGGATTAAACATGAAATTAAAATGAAAGAAAGTATAAGCGAACGAACAGTATGTTTGATATATTAATCTCTATCACAATTCAATTATCTGTGGCTTAAATTCAAATTCATATAATCCTATGAATCAATTTAAATATTAAATCATAGATTAATATTCAAAACTAATTATAATTTATGAAATAAAAATTAAAATTTTAAATTAAAATAAAAACCTATGTATTAAACAAAAACATTTACAGAATAATAATCAAAATAATTACAAATTATTATCAACAAAATTATATAATATTAATTAAAAAACATTATATCAAGTTTTCCACAAATTCATCATAATATATGTATTATATATTTACAACATATATCATATAATATATGCATTTATACATTATATATAAAATTCTATCCTTTTTTGTATTTTGTGAGATGTATTCCTCTCTCAACACAAAAACTTATTAATAAATAAGAATATAATATATAATAACAATAGCTTTACTCAAAAATATAATTAACACAAAAAATTGTTGTATAAGTGTTTATGTGTATTATTAGTCCTTATTATTATCATTGTATATATAAACCGATTAATTATTTTAATTTTCTTTAATTATAACAGACAAATAAGTATAATATTAACACGTGTTTAAAATAAACATTTTGTTATTTATTTTTTATAAGAAATGGTCAGTTTTTTTGTTAACTTTTCTATTGCTTTGCGTTTTTCATTTTGTTTTTCATTTATTTATTTAAACAATAGTTAATTCAATTCTACTTAAATTGTTTTGTAAATAAAACGAAACGATAATTTGGTTTCAATAGAGTATTCACAACAACACATACTCTAACTGTAAACCCTGTCTTTTTGTATTATTTTTTGTAATTTTAATTGATTTTTCCCAATCAATAAGAAAGTCCTAAAACATTAGTATTGCACTAAAATATCTATAGATTACATATATTTTCTAATAAATTGTTATACTTTTAATTAATGATATTTTTTGTTAAACATTTCTTTTTACGCAAAACGTTTGTTTCATTGCCACAAGTCTTACGTGAAATGTTTTGTTTTAAAAATTATTAATTTTTGACAATCAGTCAGAAATATATCAATAATTTAATCTGAAATAACTTAATAAATAATTGATCACATCATACGATCAGTGGTCCACTGCTTTCAATTGTATTAATAGTAATAATAATATATTCAATATTTTTATATACAAAATAACAGTTAAGAAGAGTGTATATAAAGGATAAGAGACGAGAAGTTCAAGAAGAAGGTGCGATCAGATAGAAGAGCTCATCCAACGAATCAACTGGTGCTTCAATTTAAAGCATTTTTGGCACTTTTAGCCATCATTTGTACAATAATTAGTAGAGATGTAGTCAAGTGTTGCAAATAATTTATAGTAAAACACCAATTAATAAAATCAATACTTTTTTGTTGTTTTTTGTCGGTTTTATATGTGTTGAGAGTAAGAGTGTGTCGACAGTGAAAACAAATGCTTTTCACATAATGAATATGTAAATCAATTTCTAAAATACAAATTCCGGAACCAAATAGTGAACCAAATGGTGAACTAAACATCCATTAAAAGGTGGCATAAAAGACGGCTAAAGAACTAAACAATACTAAAAAAAGACAATAAGAATATTCTTAATTATTTGTTAATATAATGTGAAATGATTTTAAATGAGTTGCGCTAAAGACTTACCTCTTTGATATAGTGTGTGTTGTGTTTTAATATTATATTTGGTGGCAAATTAGCATAAAATCCATTAGTCGTGGGTTTGATTAACTGAAGACTACTTTAAAGGAGATGTGGGTATAGTCTTCCAGAGTAGAGGAATTTGAGCATTTTGTATGCTGTAATAAAATGAACATATATTGCAATTAGAGACACATCTCTCACATACATAACAGCGCCTCCCGTTTGGCACTCTTTCATCGCTTACAACACAACATAACATATCGTATGAAAAGAAAAAGTGTATTAATGTATGAAAATATATGATAATATGAATAACTGCTCGACAATAGAATAGGACAATAGAATTGCATTTAATAGCAAACACTTAACACAAAACAACACTACATAGAGACCGGTCTTACAGCCGGTGCTCATCACAAACCCATACATTAATATCACATCTTTTCTTATTTGATATCTCAATGCTATTCATCTATTCATTCAAAAGAAGCAAAACATAATAAAATTGCTTTATTTTGAAGACTTTAGGGACGCTTTGAACGGCAAAAATATTACTAAACATTTCTAAATTGGATTTCTGTTTCATTTTTTTCAAAAATATTATGAAAAATAAAACAAAAATTCTTAAAATGTTTTCAATTTTATTAAATTTTCTATTATTAGAGACAAACTTGTTATATAAATGTTTTGAAAAAACCATTAATATTTAATAATTCAATGAATTTAACGGTTATATCCAAAACATTGATAATAGTTTACAAAATGTCCAAAAATGTTTCATATTATGTGATAATTCTGACACTTTTAGCACTTTATTATTATATATTTATTTATTTTAAAACATATTTGTATTTTCATAAATGAATAGACAATTAATATATAATTATTTATTTTTGTTTAAGAATAGTTAAATTAAAGATCAATTGTTTGATTACATTTATAATTTATATACTTTTAAAAATTCAGTACATCTCAAAAAGTCTACTTTCAATAATAAAAAGCCAAAAATATATCAATAGTAATACAAGTGTTGATCAAAGAATATTCTCCAATAGGATGTGCATTGCTTTGAATCAATCAAAATCATAATCGCATCAATTCTTATGTGAATGTTATCCTTATATAACAATTATTTATTGTAATATAAGAAATAATAATTAAAACAAATAGAGTATATATTCTTAAATTTTATTAATATATGAAATATATTGATAGAGATTCTCATTTGTTTGATATTATAAGTGAACTGCAATTATGGACAATATTATCATTGAAAGTAAGACAATATATTAAATGTAATATAATATAATATAATATAATATAATAATAATGAATGAATTACAGCAAAATTACAGTAAATGATCACTAATTACATGAAATTTAAAAACAATACTGTAATCAAAATTATAGCAATCAAACACTATTCTTGAATATCAATTTCAAATATTAACTAAAATTAATTGTAACAAAAGAAATCTCTTATAAACAGAATATATAGGAAATAATATTCTGTCCGTTTAATACATGCCGTGAAGTCTGAAAAAACCAATACTTCAATTCCATACCAAATATATTATATAATAAGAATATATTTTAACATATTTTTCAGTTCATCAGCATTTGTCGTAAATTATACTGTATTTTACATGTTTTTCTACCACTTATTTAGTGACGAGAAAATTAAAATGAAAGGAAATTTGTGTTCATTTGATATGTTTATCGAAACCACAAATAATTTATTTTTTTCCTAATTGTAAACTCATTTTTCGTTTTCAGAACCACTTTTACATGTTTTACAACTTCATGGATATATTTATATTAACTTTTTATTTAATCAATTTATTTATTCTTATGTTTAGTGAATACGAAAACTATTTTCATAGAAACTAAAGACCATTCAATTGTTTTCAATTAGAATATACATTGATATTAAGGTTTTATTTGTATGAATATATCGTTTATATAGTAATTCAATTTGATATCAATAGTAAGATCTCTTTGTCGGACAACTATTTGAGTTTTGAATTAAAGAAATATTAGATTAAATGAACAGTTATTCTGCTCTCGATTTACAACTAAATTAGCGAAAAACAGATTCCTTTCATTAGATAACAAGTCTTATAATAAGTCTTTATCTAAGAAACTAATAAAATTAAAAGAAAAATAAAATTGAAAATATTTTATATATAATATATATATAAATAATATTAAAATTCTTGTAAAAACATAAGTCTAACAAAAATAACAGTAACTAATAGAAGAAGAGAGTCTTAAATGAATAAAAAATGAAAACTTCAATCCAATCAATCAAATTATGACAACTCAACAAAATATGTTTGAAAATAATGTTCAATACTTTTCTCAAAATTCTTTTATAAATCATATTTATCTATACTTTTAATAAATTATTTAAATAAATAATTTTAAATCAACTATAAATAGGAATAAATATTTTAATCACTAAATGAATAATTTCCTAGAAATTGATATATTTTTTCTTATAACTAAAACAAACAAAATCACACTTTTTTGCTCATCTAATCAGTAAATTATTCTTTCTTTTGTACATCGATTTAAACCATTTTAAATATATTTAAAACGATTTAATCAATTATTTGTTATGACCACAACATGACAACTAATTTCTATATATTGTGTTTTTAATCATTTAAATTATAAGTGAAATGAAATCACAGTCTTGTTCTCAATTGACATTAGATTCTGACAAAACTGGGATCAGAGCTCACAATCAACTGACACTCGGGTTTTCTTTGATCGCTATTTAAAAACAACTCAAATACTGAAATACTGTATAAATTAAAAAATATGATATTTCGATGAATATATTGTGACTCTATATCGAGACTCGAAAGGTCTCGACAATCGTTATATATGTGACGCAAACATTAAATAATAATAAAATAATACAAAAAAAACTAAAATAAACATCCATTTCGTCTCAACAAAGACTTATGACTGGAAACTAAAAGATTGGGGAAAACATTTGGCCAGAGATTGTGAGCACTTTTCACCTTCAGATCCAAATGGATCTCAAGACAAACACATTACACATTTCAACACTTGTAAGTGTGAAATAGACGTATGCTTTATATAACCGATAAATATATATATCAATCATATTTTACAAATATCTCATAAAATACATCTTAAAGAGTGATTCGTTAGAATCGGGTCCCAAAGTCTCATTAGTGATGACATTAATTATAATTAATAATAATATTAATATTAGTACTCATATTAATAATAGTGTAAAAAGAGTCAAATATTAGCGCCAATAGTGAGTGACTATAGGAGTCTAATATGGCGTGAATTTGCGGTCAGTCTTATTCTTGTTGCCGTTCTCGACAGCGCCGGTCGCAGCGGTCGGTTGGCCACGGATTTTGGTTGTCAACGATTTTATATTTCTAGCGTTGAAGACGTTGTTGAGGTCGTGAGTCGTGAAAAGGGCACCCGAGAGGGCGGTTGCGGGGACTGCGGCAGCCAATTGAGTCAAAGGAATTGCCATTGGGTTCGAGGACAGGCAACGGGTCATTGCAGTGCCACTGCCGGGGGTGGCTGTCAAGGATGGGTCGAGGGTCAGGTTCTTGTGTAATTCCATGCTATATATGGGGAGAAGAGAAACAATGGGATAAATCAATGCGAGAAGTGACCCAACAGAGCAAAGAGACACACAGAGAGACAGAGAGCTAAAGCAAGAGACAGAGAGAAGAGACCAAAACATAAACCCAATTCTCAATACTTGAAGAAACCTTAACCGAAGGAACGGGTGCTTCATATCATCCATTGAATTATATGAGAGTCAGACTAGTGTTTGACTTCAATGTAACACAATATCAGAAATGAAAACCGTTTTGCGTTCAGAACTTATGAACAGATTTGTGCAAAACATTGTTTGTGCAGAAATTCACATTTATTTTTAGCAATCATTATGTAAAGTAACAAAAAGTACTAAAAATAACGTTAATTGTCATCTGAAAAAATTACATGAACTGAGAAAATGCAAACATTAAAAAAACTATTACTGAGGAAAAAAATCTACACAAATAAACTTTCTTAAATAATTTCCAAATCAATTAATAATAATTTGGGTTTTAATTAAGAGATAAATAATTTATTATCAGAGAATAAAGTCCTGACGAATGATAGGTTACAATCAATCACTCGGAATAAGCACTAAAACCGAGAGATAGTGTCCTTAACCTAAACTATCGGTCGATATAGAGCTGAAAAGATAGGCTCTGACAGCAAACCAACATTACTGGACATAAGTGTTGGGTTTGAGTGCTTTTTTGCCTCAAACTAATCAATTAATTAATTATTGTTTGATATATTCTTACCTAAAATCTTAGCTTAATTAAAGTAAAAATAGAATTAAAATATATTTATATAAAATCAAATAAAAACAAGTTAAAACAAAAAACATAAACTACTGGTAGAGCATCATTTATTTATGATAAAATTCTGTTCAATAATAAATCAATTAAAACGAAACAACAAATTAAATAAATTGAGCAAAAGTCGGATAACTAGGGATGGGATCATACATAAACAAAATTTTGCCAATTTTGTCATGTTTTATTCGTGTATTATTTACATACAATGCTTAAGAACTAGAAGCTAATGCTAACCAATAGGCAATGTTATTCTATGAACTTATCTATAAATTAAAATGATGGCTATTTTCCTAGATTTTATTTCTTAAAATATTTCTTAAAATCATAATTTATTTTCTATAATTTTAAAATACATTGATAAAAAAGCATAACTTTATATGAATTTCGTCCATTTTTGCAAATATTGTCAATAGTTGACACCATTTTGTATGTATAGTACACGAATAATACATGGAATAATACACATGTATTAAACATATGTATTGTTGTCCCCATCCTTACGGACAACAGATGAAAATTGTAAAGAATTAAAATGTAGAGAAGTATTAGCATTGAGTGCATAAATGAATTTATTTTTACTCTCTGTTTATTATATAAAATGTATTTACTTTATTAGTTCAGCAAATAAACAAAACACAACATGTATTAGAGAAACGAAATTAAAATATTTATTAAATGAAAAGTTCGGATGCAGTGCCGGTGCAATGGCTTACGGATTAATTGGTATCTCTTTATGATTAACCATTCAGTTCTCATATATTATATGAAATCAAATGAAACATGTTTTGCAAAAGAGCTCTCAAATTGAGATTAAAAGGGAATACAAAGAAATGTAGTTAACTATTGTATGGAAGGAAAAAATTAGATCCAAAGAAAAGCTAGTTTTAGAAAAAGAGACAATAAGTGAAGGCATGAAAAAGAATGACTATATGTGAGAGATAGAGGGGCAGGTTCTTGTGTAATTCCATGCTATATATGGGGAGAAGAGAAACAATGGNGAGAGAGAGAGAGAGAGAGAGAGAGAGAGAGAGAGAGAGAGAGATAAGTGAAAAAAGTTGAGCTAAAAGTAGTTTTAGATGTGATTTACTAGAACTGAGAGAGTGTTGTGCACAACAAAGCTCTGGTATTTTGATGGGAATGGAGGATAGATTGATAACAATACGACTTTTAGAGTGCGATCAAAGCACTGGTGGCACAGAATAAGGACAACTCAATGATAGCTCGGAATGTCTTGGAATGACAACAATTCTTTAAATGTGAATATTTATTCATATTTATAGATCATATTTGACGAGATATTCACTGTATTCTCGTATCTCAAAAATGCTGACAATTCATAAAGTCTTTAATTTTAAATATTATTACTTTTATTATAAGAGAATTATTTGAATCAATTCTTATTGCGGATAACAATTCACAGTTGTTTTTAATATATAATTAATACTTATAATCCTTAAAATATATGGTAAACATGAAGACAAGCAAAACTTATCATTATTTGTATTTTCTAATAGCGCTAGAAATTGATGGATAATTTTCAAGAGAATCTATAAATTTTAAAAAACATGAGAGTTTAATATTATCGCAAAGCTTTAAAAACTCAAGTAATCAAATAAATGACAAAATACTATGTTTTCTAATGATTTATTACTTTCATCAATGAATCCTCGAAAGACACTACAGTTTTAGCTGAGCTATAAATATCGATATTATATAATGTACTATATTTTATTAGATATTCCCGTACTCTACACACAAAGCAATGCATTTTTGCTTCAGTTGTGTTGAATAGAAAAATAATCGGAGAAAAAAGTTAATAAATGTTCACATTTTTTGAGATAAGAGGTTTGATTTAAGAGATGAGCAAAATTTTGCTAAAATATTTTTGCGTTAAAATGAATGCGAAATTAAGATTTATGTCAACAAATCGCTGTAGTTTTTGGTGTTAGGGATGAATGGGACGAACAGTTAGTTATTGGAGAAAAAGGGCATTGAGTTAATGATTTGAGAAATAGATGTTTTGATTTTAGTGGAACTTCTTCGCGAAAACACCTCAACAACGCCCCAAATATTGGTCCAAAACCAAAGCCAAAGCCTTCTCTCATTGTTGGGTCTTTTTTCGGCGATTTATTTATTGTAGAAATCAATGTCTTGTGTCTGAAGTCCGTATAAAATGCCAGCGAAGATGCGCTCATAAAATCACGTTTATATAGTTTTTAACAGCGATTACGACAATCAGTTTTTTTGTTGTAAATCGTAAACTCATTTTAATGACAATAAATATATTGTTCGTAAAATGAGTACAAATGCAAAAGACATTCAAATAATAAATAATGAGAAATGATATATTTTTGTTATTTTAAATGCCTATAAAATATATGCACATTAAGAGTGGGCTTTGCTTTGATAGTGTATAGTATTTAATTATACGGACGCCAAACACGTACTAATTATATAATTCCCAAACGTATTGTTCAAAATCAATGGCTCCGTCCGTCTCTGTCGGTGCGCACAATATATTCAGTAACCGGTGCTTAATGGCTATGGCTATGGTGTACACACTGTGTATAGTGTAGTGTATGTACACTATTAATACCCGATTCGCAGTTTATTGTACAATAAATTATAATATATTCCCATCGATTGCATCGACTCTAAGACAAATGCATTGTACAGTTGTATATACTTTAGACATAAATAATTAATTTCTAATAATACAGAGCTATTAATATTCAAATCAATTACATTTTCGTTGTTTTATTGTTAAAATTGTGGATCAATTTGAATTAATTATTAGGTTTTTGGTGAATATATTGTCCACCAAATCATAGCATAATTTAAGATCGACTCAAAATGAATTCACATTTAAATACATAAATAATGAATGCTTTATATAATAAATATATACAACAATTTAAATGATAGGTTGTTCTTCTCGATAGACAAACATTAGAATCGATTCATTGATTTATATTAATAATTGTCATTAGAGTCAGTGTTTGATATGTTTTCATAAAGGCTTGTCATATATATTCTGTATATGATATATATATGGAGAGGAAGTAATAGAGCAAAGCGTTGAATGAAGGGATGGCTTACCTCGTATTGATTAGATATTGCGCCAGATTTATAGACTCAGGTGTGCCTGAGATGGCGACCGCTCTATCCTTTGAACCTTCTTCTGAGTTTGAGATTTTAATGGTGGCGCCCGACAGTTGCCTGCAATCAATGCAATGTTTAGTACATCATAGTGTAGTCAACACCCATTAGCCAAATGGTCACTAACAACATGGTGCGAATCATCTCACCTAATTTCATTAATTTTGGCGCCGCCCTTCCCTATTATACACCCGATTAAATCATTGGGAATACTCATCTCGGTGGTGGCTGCGGCTGAAGGGGCCATTGGGGCAGGAGTGGCTGCGCCGGGTTGGCCCATACTATTGGCTGCTGCCAAAGTTGCCAGGGCTAGGGGTAAACAATTTAGACAATTCACACGTTATTCACAACAATTCTTACAACAAATTCATTGAATATGAATTCATTTCTCATTTTATATATTATATTAAGTTCTCTTCGAATTGATTGTCGAATAATTTTTGGCAAATTTCCTTTTGAATCGATTTATAAAATTAGTTCATTATTTGTATTAATAAATGAATTAAATAATGGCAACAAAATAAAGGAAACCAAAGGAAACATAAGGGAAACATATAATAGTAAAAGTGAATTAATTGCCAAAAATTATTTATAAACTGATTGTGTTTTAGTAGTGTTTTAATAGAGGGATTCGTAAAGTAAATTGAATTGAATTAATGATAAGAAAAATTAGAAAAATGAATGAATAGTAGAGGAATGGATTCGTTGAGACAAGCGAGGGATACCTTGAGGGTTGAGGGTCCCAACGTTGTGCCCGGGAAGGAGAGGGGCATGCTGTAGAGCCAGTCTATGCAACTTGGTCAGCTGTTCATTATGTCATTGAGATATTCATTGTATCATTTGATGGAAGTGGAGAGCCATAGGTAGAGGAGATGAGGAGAAAGAGGATAACAATGAGTGACCAGATATTCAATTTGAGCCTTTATTTTAAGCATTTTATTAACAAATAAATCAACTTTTTTTAATGATTAATATTTTTAGTATTGATTTTGAATAATTTTTTTTGGATTGGTTTTTGAGCGACAATACAATTCTCTATTCATAACTGCTATAAATATGATAACTAATAAAAATAGGGGAAAAATGAATTGACTTTTTTAATAACAACTACTACTTGAGAACCACTTCTTACCCGAATATATAAAAATATAAATTATGATTTTAGTAATAATTAAATTAAATGATATATCCATTGGTTAATGTAGAATAAGTATAGAATTGGCAATAAAATCGTTAATTACACGATAAGTCAAACTCAAATAACGTGCGAAAAAGCAATCATTACTTTATTAATCAAAATTGAATTTTGTTTTAGTGGACGAAAAACAAAGAGAGAAAACAAAAGATAAGTTAAACAATAAGACAAACAATAAATACATCCAATTTTTATACACAGTTTTATTGAGAAAGAAAATAGAGGTTTGAATTGTTTGTGGAATTGAATGAGAAAATAAGGAATTGTTTGATTGGGTTTTGATCAACATTTAGAAATGTTTCGGCGGAAAAATGTCCTGATTATGGGTTATGGGGGCCAGAGGTTAAGCGGGAGAGAGAAAGCAAGTGAGAGATAGTGAGAGACAGAGAGAAAGACAGGTGTATCGCACCGAACGGTGCAATACGTGTGACAATTGGTCAGAATAAATGGCGGATATAGTGGTGGCAAGTGATGAGTGAAAGTAATTGTTTAATACATAAGTTGCAAAAGTTGTTGTTTGAATTAAAATCACTTACAAAAGCAGTGTTTCCGATCTGCAGCCCCGATGCGGGAAACTCGACTAAGCCGTGACACTGTTGATCACATAAACCCTGTCAGTTATTTGGAGGGTAAGGACCGAATTGTGCTATTATTTGCCATTTATTTTTTCACTACAAAGTAGTACTTCATTGTCTTATAGTATTTTAGAGCATTTCAATCAACAAACAATTGACACTTCAATCAATACATTGTATGTTCACTTTCAGTGCATTTTTTGTTTTCATTGCAATTTAATTAAGAAAAAAGGGTTGCTTTCAGTCAAACTGTATTTTGCTTATGCCTTTTAAAAGGGGTGTGATTTGAAATAAAATTACATATTGTTCATAAAAATATAGACTAAATAGTTTGCGAACAACAAACAAAATAATCAATGGATTAATTAAAACTGAAACTCAATTAATGGTTTAATTCAAAAATAGCTCTAAATATAAAGACATGCATTGCTTTGGTGTTAAGCATTGCATTACAGAAGCACTTATGGTATATACCGATAAAAATATGACCAAATATTTGACATCAAAACTGTTCATGATTTGAGTCAAAGAAATGATTTTGAATACTTACATCGGGGTGAGGGATAGCGTACTGTCCTTGTATTGTGTAGGCCTGTCCGCCAGCGAATATCACTGGAGGCATAGCCGGCTTAGGACGGTATGGTATGGTTGCGCCTTTTGGTGGTGACTGTGAACGCAGTGACGGATCACAAGAGAAAATGCAATCAATTATTTAAATCTAGAAATTAATTCTAATAATAAAATTCATTTATTTATTTTGCAGCGAAAACTCATTGAAAATATATGACATATTCTTCATATGTGTATTCATTGGATAAATTATTCTAAAGCTAGAAAATGATGCAAAACATGCATTTTCGTGAATAATCAGCCCTTTTGTTGTTTTATTAAGAATTATATTATAATATAACATATATTTATATCATTCATAAATCATTTTATTATATGTTTTTATATTACATTTAAACCAATGGTTGTGTTTCATGTATGGCTCGTATGGCATGAGATCTCTAAATCTCTAAAAACCCATTGTTTTTCATATGAATTTCATTCAATAATTTATTGCTTAAAAGCTTTCGAGTGCTTTGAAAAGCAAAGTACTAGAGATGTAAAGACTAAAAACAACATCTGATGTCTAATATGTCTGAGAATTAAAAACAATAATAAAGAAACAGAAATCATAACAAATATTTTTTGTGAAATTAATCGATAAAACAAGAGTAATGTTTTGGCTTTTGATCACAAGACGACTAATTCAATTGATGGCACAAATGGCTTATACTAAACGTTTCACTCATAACCACTCATAAGCACTGCTTTTAGGTTTTTTAATTAAATTTCTGGTTTTTGGGAATTTTCGCTGATTTAAGTGATAATCAAATTCTTGTGTTTTTTCGGAGAGTCTTTTCATTATTTATTTTCAACTTATATGTTATGTTTGCAATCATCACATGTGAACATAACTCAAACTCATCTATTCTTTTAAGTCACAAAATACATAATACTATATAAATATCACTATATTTGGGTCGACTGTCTTGTGTGCCGAAGTGATAGGCCTAAGGGTTGGAGAGAGTAAATGCATTCTCCTCTTTGAATGTATCACATGATCGCATGTGAGATGAGATGCACAACAACTCGGATGCCAAACAAGAATATGAAATATTGCGATCGACAGGTTTGAGAATAAGTGCAATCAAAGCAAAGTAATGGTATATACAGTAGAGTACAGAAGAGCAAAGTAGAGAGAGACTCAAGAATAGCATTCAATACTTCAATACCTAGTATTGAATACTTTGCAAATACAAGTAGACGAAGAAGTAGGAGAAGAGCAGCGAAGAGTGGATCAAAAGAGACACGAGTTGCGAATCCAGTCGTTTCTCTTAAGGACACTTTCAATTCAATCGATACTAAACTCTCCGCTATTCATGAAATGTATTGATTCATTCACTTTTCAAATCTAACGTTTTGTCACTAATCCTGTAAAATGTGAATCGATTTTTACAACAGTTTTTTTCTCCTTTAGAGTAGAACTCTCTTTTTTACTCGGCTTTTGTCAACATTTTCTTTTCCCTATAATTATCATAAAATTCTTTCAAAAAACATAAAGAGATTCCATTAAGACATCAAACGAATGGATTTCTAATCAAATTAAGTAATAAAATTTGTTATTAAGTCGCGTATAATTTGAAAATAAAACTTTTTTATTTAATCAAACTCTTCAGACACTCAGCAAATGAGAGTATTTGTTACCAAAAATAATTAGTAATGAATATTATTGGCCAAACAATAATTGGCCAACAATTGAATAATATATCAAATTTTTATAAATTGTTGGACAAAATAATCACTCAAAATAAATAACTCAATCAACAAAATAGATAAAATTCATGATAAATAATAAAATATCGATTTTTCTATAGGAAACTCATTTCCATTCAAATGACATCAATAATAAAAATAATAATAATATTGGAGTCTTTAAAACAAATATTTTCTTCAAAGTTCTCGACGACTAAATACAAGTGTTGTATTCAACCGTAAAGTATAGATATAAGTAAAAGGACTGAATGTCTGTCACACAACACAATTCATGAACGGAACGGCAAAAGCTTTCAATTTATTATTAGGAAATTCCATTAAATATATACCAATAGATTTAGTACAGTTAGTCCGGAATGAAAATTACACTTGGTTCTTAAAAGTGTATTTTTATCAAGTTTGTAATTGAGTTTTTATTAGTCTGTTATTTAGGATTCCACCTCTTCTTCAGTGTTTTTTTATTATCATAAATATTGAATTCTATAATAAATAAATAAAATATAAAATGGGATTTAAAATTTTTCATATTTTCTAAATTTCTATTTGAAAATATCTAAAACTGTATATATTTTGACTTCAATTCCGTCATTCCTTTAATTATAATAAATATATTGAAACTGTAAATCCAATACAAATTTCAACATTGATATACAGTATATTGTATATAAAATTTTCAATTTAAAATCATGTTTCTTATGCCAAATATACAGTATGTTATGAAAAATCTAAAATATATTGTTTTAATTACAAATTTCAATAAACCGATTGTGTGTTAATAATAATGGCATTAATATAAAGCTTTACATGTAGTGAGCATTTGTATGAATGCCTACTCCAAACTTGTGATAGGAAAGTGTGTTTCAAATTGATATTTATTTTCAATTATTCATTAGTCTAATGGAAACTAGTGTTGAGAAGAGTTGATGACATTAATGCTAACATTATATCAACATTTCATCAAAAAAGACAATTAAAATGTCGTCTAAACTAATAATTCTTTGAGTGAATGTTTCAAATGAGAAAATAGTGAATCAATACAACA